AGTTTAATAGTCAGCCCTGACTGCAAGTGTTAGTCCTGCTATAGTAATATCTAGGTCAACTGTAAAAATGGGTACAGATGGCTCTGAGAGATTTACCTCAAGGATAAATTAATTCTAAGGTTGAGACAATGATCTGAGCATCTGGAATAATCCAGTGATGTTAACACAGGTTACAGGTTTAGAGGGTTTAAAGTAAAACACCCAAGCAGGAGTGTTAGGTATGGCAATTGGTAGTGAACCTTTAGGCAGACTTCTTAAATAGGTAATATAGAAAAGTTACACATGTAGCCAATTGTACGCTCTCTTGTAATAGTTTATTAAACCATAATACTGATAAGTGATTAATAAAAGTCAAAAGACCAAAGAGGTTACATTAATACCAAAAAAAAAAAAAAAAATTTACTATAAAATTTAAAAAAATTTAAAATTTAAATTTTTATATGTTTTTGAAAAAAATATTTATTTTATTATTAATAAAAGTTAAAATTTTAATTACAAAATAACAAAAAGTATTATAAATAAAGTTATATAATTTGATTTGATTAAATTTTTATTATAAACATAGTAAATTTATTTTTAATTATTTAAAAAGTTTGTTATATACAAAAATAAATTTTTTAAAATTTTTAATTTTTATAAAATCAAATATTTTTTGTAGTTTATAAACAATTTGTTTTTTTTAATAATTTAAAAATTAAAAGTACCAAAATATAATCTTTAATCATAATTTAAATTTAAAAAAAAATTTAAAATTTTAAGATTAATAAAAATAATTTAAAAACAAGTCTAAAAAATTTAAAAAAATTTAGTAATTAAATTTGTTAACTAAACAAAACAGTTTAAAAGATAATAGATAAATAATTTTATTTATAAAACATTTTGTAGTTGTATAAAATTTTTTGCAGCTAATTATATATAAAATGATCTATATTGTATTTTACTTTTAAATTTAAATAATTAAAGAGAATAATAAAACAAATAGTTAGAAGTAGGATCTAAAAAACTAAAATAATAAGTATTTTTTAGTGAATCTAATAAATCTTTAATTTTTAAAAAAGCAGATAACTGTCTTTAATTGTTACTATAGTTAATTTATAATAGTCTACAAAAATCTAATTTTATTGTCTTATTTAACTAAAACTATAGAAGATATTCAATAGTTTTCAGAAGTTCAAATAACACTTTTATATAACATGTAAACAATTTTATCTTTTAAAAATTTATGCTTATTAAAGGTATATTAATAGAAACTTAATTTAATAACAAGAATATTATTGATATTTACTTTATGCTTAACTATTTTAGTATGATCTAACTCTTTAGACTTCTAGGCAAAACTTAATCAATAATGCTGTAAATAATTCTCAAAGTAATTCTTAAAGTATTGAGATAGAGATGTGATCCATAAATTACAATACAAATAAATAAACTGTTGTTTATTTTAAAACTACGGTTTTACAATAAACTACAGTTTATTTATATTAACTAATAGTTTACGGATCACATCTCTATATTGAGAACATAATATGGAATGTTAACATTTTTTCATTACAATAAAAATTAAGTAAATCAGTAATAAATTTATAATTGTCTTCTAACAAGTAAGTTGTTAACAACATAGGTGCATCGTTTATTGATTTCATATTAAAAAAATTTATACACATGATCTGTATGACATCTCAATAGACTACATACTAATGCTAAAGTTTTTGCCAATCACCTTTATACGTATAAATATGTCAAACAATAAGATCACTACATGTAAGGGATAAGGTTTAGCTATAGCTTACAGCTGAGACAGTGCCCGATCCAAAGTGAATCCCTCTCGCCTGTGATCAATCACAAATTAAATTATTTATGCTGGATTCAATTGTGATGGATATAATCCCTCACGATCCAAAGTGAATCCCACACACAGTGTGATTAATTAAAATTAAAATTATTTATTTTAGTTTTAATTGACCACACCGTATGTGGGATTCCTGTTGTTGCTATAGCTTATGTGAGCTGCTCTGCAATTAAACTCCGAAATATGACAAATACAAAATCGCACTTACGGATAATCATTGAGCCGGAGTTTATCAATTAATTTTTTATTGAACCGGAGTTTTAATTACTTAATTGCAGACTAATTGGGTGGATCGGAAATGTATTTGGAACACATGTGCATGTAAAGCGTTAAGGCTGTAGCGTGACACTACGTACGTACATTTTTTTGAAATTTCCTAGTAAAGAACCAAATTTTAGCATAAACTTTGACTTAGAAAACATGTGGCGTAATCTTATGCGCCTCAGTCGAAACATCGAATATTGGGATCGAAAGTTAATTTTGATAGGTTTAATACCGAAATTGCAAAAATTAACGCTTATGGATGTTATTTAGGGATACATAGTCTGAATAGAGCTAATAATTAATTTAGCCAAAGACTTTTAATATCAAAAATTATGATTCTCACACAGACAAATTAATCATAAACTCTCCTCAAACAATTTGTCCCGAGATAACGCCACGGACGTTATTTTAGGTAAATACGGCAATTGATTTCCTGAAGTGATGTAGTTCCGAAATTCAATTTTCAAAAAGAAATGAAATTCAAACAATAATTAATACGTAATCAAATGACATTGTTGTAATTTCCTTTTTTGAATTTCGGAGCCACGTCTCTAATGATATCTCATTGAAAATATGGAAATGTTAAAATAAATAGGAAAATAGTGGAACTGACATAATCTAGGGATACATCAGTTAAGTAATTGTTTTATGCAACGATGCCAAATATTTTAAGAAGGTTACTGTCATAATGAATTACTTTTATTTTATATAAATATGAGTGTTGCAGAGTAAAAACCCATAATCCAGTTACAGATTTTCGCACTATAATACTCATATTCAAACGACTAACAACCCTATTTATATTCATAAAATATGACGACTGACACTTCACAGACCCAAGAGATTTTAACTAAACTTGATAATTACGTTCCACTGGGTAGTAGTGGACTAAAAGTATCTCCATTATGCCTCGGGACAATGGTAACTACACTTTTTGTTTTAAAGTTATTCTGATTGTTGATAACTTTTACCAGTTAATTTTTTTAAAAAAAATAGGATAGCAATTAATGATATTTTTTCATTAAATTATTATATTAGACCTTTGGACAGCACGTAAGCCTTCACGTTCTAGAATACGTTATTTTATATATTTGAATATTTATGGGGTACAAATTTTCTATTGATACAAAGGATGATGATAAAATTAAAATGTCAAAGAAAGTATTCGACAAATATTATGAACTTGGTGGAAATTTCTTCGGTAAATAGCAAGTAAATTGAAATATTACGACTGTTCTCATAGATTTTGGGATAAACTTAATGGAAACCTTCTTGATTTCGCCCTATAGATCTCTACCTTTTTCAGAAATTACTGTCTTCGGCTAAAGTTTCAAGGATAGTAATTTCCGAAAAGTTTGATCATTTTTTGAGCAAAATTGAAAAAAAATTCGACAAATGAGCAAATTTTTAGAATCTATGAGAATAACTTCAAGCTATGATTGACATTTAAATGCATAACCTACTTTTAACACTATTCCCCTTAATGCTATTTTTCAGCCGCATCGAACGGAGATGTTAGTTAAAGCCAGATTTATTTATTTAGTATTATTTAGCATGGTTTTTAAATATTTTTAATTTTTCCAGAGTGAAAACATCTTAGGCCAATATATAGCTGATAAACGATCAAGAGTCATAATTTCCACAGGATATACAAGTGAGTTTTAAACTGAATGCCTTTATACAATTCATTTCTTACACTTTACTTATTACTCGAATTATTTTCTAATATTAATAGCTCATCCGGAAGTTCTAGATCCAAAGAACCCTAATTTATGTTAGCATAAACATTAAATCCATAATTATCTCTAGAAATTTGCATCATAGTTTAACGATATTTTTAAAAAATCATAAGGTGTTCCGAACCGAAAAAGTCTGACGGAAAATCTTGATGAGAGTTTAAAACGGATGGGTATTGGGTATATCGACATTTTATACACCAATATTGATTACAATAACAGTATCGAAAATATACTAAGGGGATTAGACGATGTAGTTCGAAGTGGCAAGGTATGTGTATATACGTAATATTTTTTATCGTATTTACAAGTTATTATCTGTGGTGACATGTGTATATAAATTAATTATATCAAAAGGCATTATACATTGCAATAACTGATACACCAGCATGGGTAATCAGCGAAGCAAACACGATTTCTCACTTTCGTGGGTGGAGGTAATAGAAACATTTTAATTAGAAATTTGAACCGGTTTTAAACAGATTTAACACATAGAAAATAAAACTGGTTCCAAACTCTAGTTCAATTATAATAATATGCTAATTAATTTATTTTGAATAGTGAATTTGTTGCATTATCAACGCCATATAGTCTAACTGATCGTTCTTTTGAGTTTGATTTGCAACCTATGTGCTTGAAGCATAAAGTTAGTCTTTTTTTTTTTTTGGTTTCGTGTTTCATATTAATTCAAATAGTCAAGTAATATCTATATATCATAATTAAATTAAATAGATTGGTGTTATCTCATATAATACCATTTCTTCTGGGTTATTATAGTTATAATATTCTTTCGCGATTTTTTTTTGAATTTATTTCAATAATCTCATCAAAAAGCACTGCTTTGGAACTTAAACTTGTATTCATTTTAAAAATATAGTTTCTTATCTAACCGATACTCCAAAGATTTCCTTGCTTCTGATAAAGACTTCCCTACCAAGAAAACCGTTTTAGAGTATGCTGAGAAGGAAAATAATTGGAAGATTCTCGAGGAAGTTGTTCGGGTTTCTAAAGAAGTTGGAAGAACGCCTTCTGAGGTAATTTACATTAACAAATTATTTTTTCGTAATCTATATTAATGTTGCATTTTTATAAATTTGCATAGGTTGCAATCAACTGGGTTCTTCAACAGTCAGGAATAGCATCTACGTTAGCAGCTGCAAGAAATGTAGAAATCTTGGAAGAGAACATAAATGCGTTAGAATTTAAGTATGTTTATTTAACGCTACAGAATTTATTATTCACATTGGTTGTTTTTTTATTTATTAATTAATTCATAATTTACACTAGACTTACTCCAGAACAACTTTCTGCCTTAAATGACATCTCTCTACCAGGAGAGATTCCATTCACACAAATTCCAAAACCTAATCCGTTACATTATACTTCTAAACCCGGTCCTGAATATATCAAAGAGTTGAAGCCACTTCGAGAAACCTAAAACAATATATGTAAAGGAATCTTAATTTTGTTTTTTGTTACGGACAGATATTTACACTGTGTACACTTAAAGTTGCGAACCGAAACCCGAAACCTTTTCCGAAACCCTAATACTGTATTGAAAGGCTTAGAAATTAATAGATTGCCTTTCAGAAAGGTTTTGGTTACTTAATAATCTAAAGGTTTGGGAAAGGTTTCGGAAAGGTTTCGGGTCACAACTCTACAGTATACACAGCACAATAACGTTAAAATTTCTTTTAAACTACATGTATTCTACATAACCAACTTTTTTTACTTTATAGCAACCTTTTTTATATAGAATATATATCTATTTAAAATTAAAAAAGTTGTTAAAATGGGCCCTTTTGATATCAGACACTCAAATATTTTTAATAAAGAATATAACAGCGATAAAATCTTAAATGATTTTTTTCACAAATTACAATCTCATTAAAATTTTGCGTAAAATATTGCTGAAATACACACCTTTCCTAAAAACGCGAGATCAAATAATACTTATTAGCCACACCAAATTATTCGTCACATCCTTGTACCAAATGGATAATGGACTTGTGGGACCCTGGCCGTTGTTAATACTTCGCTGTATACTTATTAAACGTAGACTCTATACCAGTCTAGATCAATCAATTCTAATTCCACAAGGATACGGATCCTAATTACTCAGAGAAAGGTCTCTTCAGCCTTAATGCTTACTTCCTTTATGTTAATTAAGATACCCAGCGTATCCTTTATACACTACTTTTAATAATCGTTATGAGAAATCGACTCTTTATAAGTGAAAGAAATTCTTTATTAATTTCTTTAAGATATTCAAGATACAATTCAAGGGATTAGAGGTTTTTATTAGTTAACTAATTGATGACTAACGTTTGGGAAAACTAAAAGGGCCTATACTTATACTTTTTGATTTCTATATAGAATAAGTTCATTATTCTTTCTTCTCAAAGTCCACAATGTTTATGTTCCCTTATTATCATGTATACATTTTACTATTAAAGCATATATGTTCTCTATGTTATCACATATACACTCAGGCAATTGTCATATAGTCTGCAGCATATATGCTGTATTATGCTAAGTAACTTCTTAATTCTATAATAAGTTATCTTCCTTCTTTTATAAGCTTCACTTATATTAAATAAGATAAAAATAGATAATAAACATGATATAAATAGAAAAATTAAAAAAATAAGTCATGGTTCTGGTCTAGGAACCTATTTAAAACCAACATATTCTTCTTGTTCTTGAGCCCTTGCGAAAATATTGTACAGATTAATTAATTTTGTCTCTTCTTGATATTTCTGCTTTCAGGCTATAAGAATTAATTGATCAAAATCTTATTATACATTTTTATTAGAACATAAGAAGCAATGGTTTGAGCCTTGAAAATTGGAAAGACTTCTACAAGTATATAATTTATAAACTCTCTGAACTGCTTTTTGTACATTACAGATTTTTTTAGAAAAAGTTTCTTGTATTTTAGTTTTTCAACTTCCTTTTTTTAACCTTCTAGTAGATAATAATATTGTAAAGGGATGTTCAAATTTGAGTAACTTTTCACCAAACATTTACAAAGAAAAGTTATTTGATCTGTACATATTATTCCTATAACTTCTTCTATTTTATAAGCTATTTTTCTATTTTTTTTGTAAATTTTCAAAAAATATAGACATTTTTAAATGTAGTTTTCAGTATTTTTAAGTCTTCAAAGTTTTTTTATAGTAATTTCATTAGATAGAAGTTTATTATATATAACTTGGTTTGAAAAAATAATAAAATCTTTTAAAATATTCTTATTCTATAATTGTTGTTGTAAAAAGGTTATTATTTTGTTAATGTTCTTAAAAAAGGACAAATTATTCATTTAAATAAATTTTTAATAATAAAATAAAAAAAATTAAATAAATATATATATAAAAAATAATTTTTTTTTTTAGTTGATATATTTTTTCAATCAATTCTTGTGTACAGGTTTTTGATATACTTTATTATCTATAGTTCTAAATTTATATGTATCATTCTATAAATTTCATAGATATAATTATTTTTTTTAAGCTTTAAACTATGGGTAGCAGCTTCTTTTAATTTATACAAACATATAAAATTACCAATTTTATAACTTTTTATAAAATGCTTGTTATTATAGTAAGTTTGCTATTTATCTTAGGCTTCTTTACTTTTTTTTTTACTTGTTGAAGGGTTTTAGTTAAAATTTCTAATAATATTTTACTGCATCTTAAAATATTATTTTATAAATCTTCTTTGATAATAGATTTAGTTGAGTATATAGATAGAGCAGTTTCTATAGACAATATGGCATTTCTTCTGTATATTAAATAGAAGAGTTCATATTAGGTTATACTATATTAAGTGGTCTAATATGCAAAAAGTGTAACTGAAATATAATTGTCTCACTCATTCTCAAATTGGCTCAAGTATTTTGTAAGTACTTAATAAAAAATATAGTTAAATCTTTATACTAACCTGTTTATTTAAAGATGATAAGTAGTAGATAATTAGTGTCTAATATTATCTAGTTACAAAGAGTGTCTATTACTTTATTACAAAAATAAAAACCTTGATTAGAAAGTAACTCTTTTGAACTTCCAAGCTAATATATAATACTATTAAAGATAAAATAAGCTACTAACAGAGCATTAGCTTTTAAAGATTATAAGCTTTTAGTCATCTTGTTAGATATTCAATAGCAACAACAAAAAAAAGTTACTAATTTTTTTTTTAGATAGTAATAAAGGTTTCACAATATCTATTTTAACATAGTCAAAAAATTGGCTTATATAAATTAGATATAATAATTTCTAGGTCTGAAGTTATTTATATTTTTAACAAGAACTACAAAACTTCATATAAGCTTTTATATTTTTTTTTATTTGTAGCCAGAAGCATTGAACAGAAATTCTTTAATAGGTGAAAATAGCATTGAAATGTCTAGTTATAAAAATAGAATGTATAGTAAATAAAATTAAATCTTTTTTACTAGATTTAAAAATTCTTTAAAGTTTTGCTAGATTTTGAAAATTCTTTTTATAAAGTAACTCTTCACAAACCAAATTTTATCAAGTTTAGTAATTTAAATCTTAGATCATCTTTTCATTATAATTTGATAACACTAAATTATTACTAAGATATTATAAATATAAATAATACTTTTTTTTCATTCTTGTTAAAAAATATATATATATATTTTTAGATTATTAAAATTTTTAATAATATTTGCTTTGATTATTATTATTATTTAGATACAAAAAATACTATTAGCATTCTGATATATTTATTCAGTCTTGTGAATAGTCATAAAAGAGTATTTTTGGAGTATTAAGATCTATTTTACTAATTTATTTTAAGATATTTATACAAAAAAAGAAATTTTAGAGCAATATAATCAGTATATAATTTAAAATAAGCACTGTAGAGATATTTATAATAATAAAAGACAGCTCATACAACTGCCAAACATTCTTTAGTTACTGAGTAATTTTTTTCTGCTAGTAATAAACTTTAACTAATATATGATATAACTTGTGTTCTTTCTATTAAATTTAGTTAAAAGAGAATAGTTTTTAAAGCTAAGTCTAATACATTAGTAAAAAGTAAAAAAGTTTTAAATTTATCTGAATAGGCTAATATCAGAACTATAATGAGTCTTTTTTTTTAATTCTTTAAATGCATTTTGTTAATGATTTGTTTACTTATAATAAATATTTTCTTTAATAATTGGTTTAGAAATGTATTATTTTAGTAAATTTAAAAACAAATTTGTAATAATAAAATGTTAGTTCTAAGAATCTATAGAGTTGTTTCATATTTGAGATGTTGAAAAATTTTAACAGTCTTTATTTTCTTGGAGTCTGTTGCTATTTCTTCTGTATTTGCTATATATTCTAGGAATTTTAATTCTTGTTTTCTAAAAAAACACTTTTGTGATTTCAATTTTAATTTTACTTTTTATAATTATTTAAATACTTTCTAAAAGTAAATAAGATGGTCTTCAAAGTTGTTAGAATAAAATTAATGACATTTAAATATATTACTACAACTTTTCTAATAATATCCTATCAAAAAGTATGACGACTTAGTGAAGTGAATAAGTTGTCATACCTCCAAATAGTAGCTTGTGAATTCAAAACCTACTGACAGTGAAATTTGGATAATCACCTATGTAATATATAGACAGTATTATGGCAATAGCATTTTGTCAATCAGTTGGGATAGGATACCTGTAACTATGGTCACACCACCATGACTAGCAGGTCTAGCACTTGTGTAACCTGTTATACAGAGGAATGCAACCCAGTATCAGGCATTGCAAACCTAAAATAAGTTCTTAGGCCATGTAAATAATAGAACTAGGAAGCCAGAGCCCACTTGGAATTTCCAAGCAAAGAGATAATACAGATCATTGACAGTACTACTGTAAAGACTAGACCTAGGAAATAGATACTAATGTGAAGGATTTAGGCAGGCAAGAACCTCAGGTAAGAGGTACTACCAACCAGGCTGCCAGATTTCAGACCAGAGTAAAAGGATATTGGGCTGGTCTTAATATACTAAGGACAGGTCATAGTCTTTCTGGGCTATCTGAATTGAGAGTCTAAGTTCAAAGAGGAGTATACTAAAAGTACTAGGGATATGCTGTGAAGTTAGTACTGAGGTCTAGATAAACTCTGTAAGAGTAACCCATGTTAGTATTCTAAAAGTGAATAGATAGTTAACAATAGAGAGCTCACTGTGCCTTACTGCCAAGTAATATACTTTGAAATATGTAACAGCCTAAGAACTAATACAAAAAAAATAGGTAACCATACTGCTTAGATGGTATACCGGTTAGGTATATACGGGGGTAAGTTGGAGATTCTAATATGACAGAGCAGATGATTAGAGAGTTTAAATGAATAATCTCCTAGTAGGTTATAGGTACAGTATCTAGTGTAGAAACCTAGAGCAGACTACTTAAATAGG